CAAGTCTACTTTTATTTCAAAAAGTACAACAGTTGCACCATCTCATAATTGGTATTTCAATTTATATACCGCTCTAACCCTTGACAGATCTCTGAGCGGATTACATAGAGTCTCCAATTTCACCTAACTAGGGCCACACTGTCTATAGGGTAGTGTCTGCCTACCAGCACCCAGGGCTTTTTTTGTTTTTTGTTTTGTTATCCGGCTTCCTCCAGCGGCTTCGGGTATTGGCGTCCTTCTGGTGCCCTTCTAGAGCAGGTCTTTTTTCCGGGCAGCTTCCTCCGGCAGGCCTCGTTCTGGCACGCGGCCCTGTCGGCTGCAGCCCTGGCTAATGTCCTTGATGGCTCCGCCACACTGCGCCGCACGTCACCGCGCTCTCCAAGCCTCCGCCTCTCCGGGCTCCGCCTCTGACATCGCTCCACTGGGCCGCCAGGAACTGTTCCGCCATCACCGCCGCCGCCGATGCCTCTACCTCACAAGGAGGAGGGTGCCCCCCTGCCACCTAGGGGCAGGTACCCAATTTATCTACTTGCCATTTAATGGTTTCGAATCGCTGGGTGGGCGGGAGCTGGGACTAGGGCTGGGAGCTCACCCCGGCCGCGGTGGGTTTCGAACAGCCGTAATGGCTGTTCGTTGATGTTACTTGCAGGCGTTCTTACTGCCTGCGCCACCGCTCCCTAGACTACTGTTTGGCGTCTCCCTGTACATGTTAAATACTTCCTCTTTGAAACTGCGGTATCAAAAGTAAAGCAGCCATTTAAGTGTTTCAGTACCAGTACAGAAATTCTAATCCACGAATCCCCCCCACCCCCAAATCTCTCACTTTAGACTTTGTGTCTGTGGAGTATGGTGAACCAATTGTTCTAACAAATAAGAATTACTTGTATGCGGCATGGTAGGTTTTATTATACTAACTGGAGGAAACAAAAAAAACCACACATGCAGTAGGATAGATAGATAGCTATATATATACATAGATAGTTAAAATTTATTGTGTAGCCATTACAATTTATTTTAAAAATGTACAAATTAGGCAACTTACAGCAGTGGAATTTAAGTTAATTGAAATTATGACAACCTCTAAAAAACTACATATTCAGTATTTAAATTAGTTTAATCCTTAAATATAGCTACCCATCTCCAGAAACACATCCTCATCCTCAAACATTGCCATTTTACATTGCCGTTTACATTGCTCAATTTCATTTTTCTTTCTTCTTGGGGTCCACCTTGGCCCTGATTTTACTAGCCGCTAAGAGTGCTACCCTATTAGAAACTGTAGTGTCTACATCTGACAGCAGAAATATTAATTTATCAATGTCAGAAACATTCTGCAATTGATCTATTATTGCAGTCAAGAATTTACATCTCATTTCCCAGTACAATGGGCAGACCATGACATAATGAAAAAGATCCTCCACGGAAGTTTTGCAGATACAAATATGTTGTTCCTGGGGCATTTTTAAGTATCGTCTCAGGTGTAATTCTGTTGGCATAGTCTGGGATTGCAATGCTGTAAATGCTGATCTAAGTTTATATGCAGTAATATTTACCAGGTATGCAGCTCTTGAATGATCTTTCTTTACGTCTTTGTACCAGGGAGCAAAAAGTTTAAGGGCTGGATCTATTAATAGCCCTCCCTTGTTATAATAAAATCTCAGTACCACAACAATAGTCTTATTTGCCAAAGATTTTAAGGAGGCAATGTAGGCATTCCAGCTCAAAGTTTCACTGAATATTAGACCCAAATATTTATAATTTTTACCCTGTTCTATTGCAGTACTTTGCATACTCCAGGAATACGTTTTAGGCTTTTTTCGAAAAACCATTACTTTAGTTTTTGAGTAGTTGATGGTAAGCTTTTCTTCTGTACAGTAGTCCCCCAAGTTATCCAAAAGCCTCTTTAATCCAATCCTAGTTAGAGAAACTAGGACTATATCACCACATGCAGTGGAATTATTCAATTTCTTTATCTTTCTCCCATTTCTAATTGCTCCATCATCATTTTATCTACTTCCTAATGTTTCAAGACAATTTTGTTTCTCAGGCAGAAGCAGAAATTTGCCAATTCTTGATCTGCAAGATGGGCAGGTGTGGGGGTTCTGAATACTCTCTCCCTCCCCTGCAATGTAGGCAATGTTTTCTTTAGATTACTCTTTGTTCCATGTTTCTCTCTTTTTGTTTGCCTTACAACCAAAGTCTCCTGTGATGAAACACAGCACCTGCTTTGGTGATGTTTCAGTACTCTGATTTAGGATGCAACTTGTTTATGCAGAACTCAGAGGTACAATTTTCCACTTGCCCATCACCTAGCAACCCTCTGTTTTTCCTTTCCTTTCCTCTACAACCCTCTGTTTTTGTGTCAGCCCTTTAAAACAGAGGAAAAAGCCAAGATAGTTTGAACAAGAGCAGTCTAAGGAAACAGGTGCAAAATAATGAAGCTCAATGCATGGTGTCTCCGGGCCTTTCCAGTCTAGAGAAGGAGTTGCAGGGCAACATGGGTGGCACATGACTGGGGATTTGTGAGACACCACTGCAAAACTTGTAGAGTTGAGTAGGAATGATCAGGTTTCTGGCACAGTACACAAAAGGCTAATTTCATTTTAAATAAAAGCAATCTCATGATGCCTTTTTAGATGTAATGCACGGTCATACTGGTGAACGTGCATACAATCAAATTTATCCAGAAGTTAGCGTTAGCATTAAACAGGCAAGTGCTCCTATATTTCCCATACTGCTTAACTTGCATAGCAATATTTTTATACATACTAGTTTTCTATAAGACTAACAAAAGTAAACTTACCAAATCACTTAGACTTTGTGTCCATGGAGCATACCACTGTCTCCTTCACCTCCTTGTCTGTGCATCTGCATCTGTGCCTGCATCCTTGCAATCATTTCTTGCATGCGCCGGAGCTAGGAAAATAAAAAGGGAATTTACCCTTTCTTTCGTTTGAAAGGATGGCTCATTTGTAAAGTTACAAGCTAATATGGTTATTATGGACTATTTTATTTATTTATTTATTATTTCAACTAGCAGTAAAGCCCGTTGTGAAAGCAATACAACGAGATCTAGAAAGAGGCTCTGGGGGAGTGCTCTGGCTTTGGGCAAACAGTGTCAATTTGCTGTGGTGATCTCAGCAGGGTATAATGACAGAGTCCACTGTTTTCTCCAGAGGAACTGATCTCTGCTACCTGAAGAGCAGTTGTAATTGTGAGTGATCTGTAGCCCTCACCTGGAGATTGGCAGCAATTGTTACCCAGGACAAACCCAGGCTGGTTTGGAGGATGTAGTCTATGGCATTCTACCTGTCTGAGGTCCCACCCCTCTGCAAACCCCACCCTCTCCAGGCTCCACCCCTCAAATCTCCAGGAATTTGTCAGCATGTAGTTGGCAACCCCATCTCCTTCCCAGCTAACCATCAACCTACCATTATCTGCCCCTTTGACTTCAGCTGACTTCTGCCCTCCCTTCTGCAGAGCAGTTGTAATTCTGAGTGCTCTCCAGCCCTCACCTGGAGATTGGCAACAATGGTTCCCTATGTGGGACTGACTGGTTTGGAGGGTGGAGTCTATGGCAGTGTACCTGTCTGAGGTCCCACCCCTCCTCAAACCTCACCCTCTTCAGGCTCCATCCCTCAAATCTCCAGGAATTTCCCATCTGGAGTTGGCAACCCTATCAGGACTGGCCCCAATGTGTTTTCTCCCAAAGGCCAAAGTAGGTGACAGGACCAAGCTTAGTTGCCTACCAACAGGCATTGAGGGGAATGTAGGGTTGCCAGCTCTAAGGAGGGAAATACCTGGAGGTTTGGGGGGTGGATTCTGTAGAGGGCAGCATTGGGCAGGAATCTCCAGGTCCCACCTGGAGATTGGCAACCCTGGGGGAAAGTGTGCTGCACAGCAGGGGGTTGAAGAGAATGGTTTGATGGGTGCTGGGCCAAGATTGGCAACAATAGTTCCCCAGGAGCAAATAGCTGGGTTGGAGGGTGGAGTCTATGGCACTGTAACCTGTCTGAGGTCCCCATCTCCCCAGGCAGCTTTTAAAACATGATCCTGGGACCTACACACCACCAGACATTCCAACTGCTTTGCCGGGGAGGGGGAGTATGAGGTGTGGAATGGAGTGAAGTCCAATCAGCTTCCATATGCAAAAGACCTTGAAGGTTCCATATGCAACTGACATTCCAACTGCCTTGCAGGGAGGGGGGTGAGTTTGAGGTGTGGAATGCAGTGAAGTCCAATCAGCTTCCATATGCAAAGACCTTGAAACACTGGGCGGGACTGCACAAAGCAGCCAGTCAACCCAGCCAGCGTCTTCTGACTGACAGTTCAAACGTCCATACACTAAAGGAGTGCATTTTAGAACTTTGGCACCCACTATTCAATTATATATAAGGAGAGATTTATATCCTGCCTTGCCACAGAGCTGGCTCAAGGCGGCTAACAACATTAAAACATTAAATACATTAAAATACAGAGTATATGCAAACAACAACCATTAACCGTGCCAATGATGATGCTGATAATAATAATGACGGTGGCATACAACATAGAGACAACGGCATTAACCAATCGGTGTTTCGTATGGGCCGAGATGTGTTCCGGCGGCCCATTCGTGCAGCCGAGATGTATTCCGGTGGCCCGTTTGTGCAGGCCAAGATGTATTCCGACACAGCTTTCTTCCTCCCCATTCCATATTATATTAATATTCCAGGATCAAAACAGCCTCAAAAATAAAAATTAAAGTATGCATGCATCCTTAATGTAGCCTACTGATAACACACCCTAATCAACGAAGACTTACACAGTAATCAAAACCACCGAGATTAATGGGACTTGATCACAGTATCCGCAAGACTGTTGCCTTAATTATTGTAATGCACTGATTAAAAGGCTGCAGCTACAATTACAAGTAAAAAAGTGCGTTGGGCAACACACAGTTCAGCCTTGGAGTGCTAAGGCAAAAACACAAGACAGATTGTTAAGTATCTATTTTGAGAATTTTCACAATGACTATGTTCTCCATTTATAGATTTCTGAAGTACTAACCTGGAATTATTTAATTTAGGCACAAGACCAAAGTGCAGCAATAAACACCTTCATAATAAAGGCTAGTTGCACAAAAGGGAGGGAGAACAGAGGGACTTTGGGGCACTGTCATCTGGTCATTGCAATGACTGTGCAATCCTTATCAGAACGTAAGAAGGAAGTAATTCTGCTTAGGTCTGTAGGTAGTTATAAGACAAGCCTCAAGGTTATCAAATCTTTAAGTCTGTCATTGGGTGCTTACCACCTTCAATGCTGAAATGGGGTAAAGGAAGGATACTACCACCTGTCTGTGACCAGCCTATTTAATATTGTAGGCTAGGGATCCATGCAGATTGTGTACTGGTGTTTTGAGGTTTACAGGTCTCAGATCCAAGGAAATAATGACTGTATTTCCCTTTAAGAACATAGTAAAACTAAGCAGCATCAGTAGTGAGATTGTTAACGTATTTAAGATGAAAAACAACATCCTTACTTCGGCTTCCTTTTCCAGTAAGATTTGATCTTTGTTCACTTCCTCATCTTCTACTTGCCTACATAAAGTGGAAAAAATGGGAAAGATAAAAATTTATAATACTGAAATGGCTTTTAACCTCTTATAGTCATGTATGCCCCCAGGGAAAAAAATTTAAAATATAGACAAAAGAGAAGCCCAGAGGGCTAAGGCATATGCTCTTATGGAAAAAAATAAAGAGTACTTGCCTTCAAATGTCAGAGGACAATTTGGGTGGGATTTTGGGTTTCTTAGCAACCAAATAAAGGCACTTGACAATGGAAGAATGCTGGTGATCAGGTAAGGGGAGGAGAAAAAGTAAAGATTAGGAGGGTGGATGACAGGAAAGGAGGAAACAGCACGGGCAGCAGGGGAGCAAGCAGAGACAGAATGGAAGACAGGAGCAACTAGAACAAGAAGAGGGGAAGTGCAGGAGGGAATAGGATTTCTTCTTCCCCAGAGTTCTTCATGGATCCCAACCCTTGTTCTTACTTTGGAGACTTTGGTTGTGAAGCAAACAAAAAGAGAGTAAGAGATGGAACAAAGAGAACTCTGAAGGAAACTTTGCCCACATAGCAGGGGAGGGAGAGGATTATGCATATATGAAAAATATTTAGCTAAACACTTCTCTGCACCAGGAATGTAAGTATATTTTATTATTATTCATTAACATTTTAAAAAACAAAGCAAGCTGAGAACAAAGCAGAGTTATGATATGCAAGACTCACTGCAAACATTTCTCAAACGGGTTTAGAGACCCCTGGGATTTTGTAAAGGTGCTACAGGGGTCCAAGAATTCTTTGTAAGGACCAGAGGAGAGCCCTCTCATGCCCAGCCAGCTAATGTAAAAACAGAGCCCATTGAAGTTTCTAGGACTGGGACAGAATTATCTTCCCTGTTTTAAAGGTCAGAAGTTCATAGAGTTGCTGCTGCCCACAGCCACCCACCCTGTAGATCATACAAGCAAGAAATTGCAGAGATTATTTGCCACCATCCAGTAGCTCAGCCCTAGAAACTCAACTTAGCTGACTAGCACCAGTAAGTTAGAGTTCTAATATAATCATCATAGTTACTTCAGGCATAACAATGAACTGGCTTTCACTATATTTTTCAATGCAAGGGAATTCACTACAGAGATGTCACTCTATGTTCAAAGACAATAGAAGCATACAAAAGTTTTCAATTGAATATCAGGCATACAGGTTTTGTGTGATGCTGGCCTTTCTATTAGCAGCTAGGTTTTTTTTTCCAGGGCCCCTTCATCCTCTATCGATTTAGCCTATTCTGAGCACAGAATCTGAAAAAAACTAACAAAATGAGCTACTTGGGTTTTTTGGGAGGAGGAGGGTTTATGTGTATGGTCATCCAGCATCAACAAGTACACTACAGAATCAGAGGTCAACCCATGCAAAGTGAAAGGGTAAGATTAATGTTCCAAATTTTTATTATTCTGTCCTATTATCTTTATTATATACAGTGCTACAAACTGCTGTACCCTAACTGTTTTCGTTTCCTGACGTATGGATTGATTTGTACTGCTATTCCTTTCATAGAGTTATTGTATGCCAATAAAGGTTACTGGAATTGGAATTGGATAAGATTAATTAACTATAACAGAACTATAGGTCCACATATGAAATACTAACCTGCCACCCTTCTTAAGTCTTTCAGAACGGAAGTTTTCATAGTGAAGGTCTTGAGTTACTTCCTGGAGATCTTGCATGTGGGTGCTGGAATCACAAAGCAACATCATGTTCATTATTAGAGGACTAACGCCATTATGACCAAACATCTGATTACATTTATTTATTTACTTAATTTATATCCCGGCTTTCACATAAATGGGGACCCAAAAGGGCTTACATCTTTCTCCTCTCCTCCCCCTGAGGTAGGTTAGGCTGGGAGTGTGTGACTTGCCCAAGGTCACCCAGCAAGCTTCCACGGCACAAGTGAGGATTCAAACCTGGATTTCCCAGATCCTAGTCCAACACTTTAACCACTACACCGTGCTGGCTCTCACATATGTGGCTCTTCTTGCCAGACCTTTTTTGCTAGCTTGTCACATCATCATATTACTATGCAAAGTTTATTCCCCCCTAGTACTTCAGTTATAACTACCTTTAATACACAGAGCCATGACAGGCAGCCAGGGGCCAAAGTTACACATAAAAAGTCTATGAACATGTATTCCTATGTTGTGCAATTTATTTAATCACTTTCAAAACAAAAAAAATGGGATGACAAGAGAGGAATGAAGAACAAACACAGAGGCTGAGATTTGATCTCTTGTAGGAACAGAGAACAGCAGCCTTGGAAGAATGACAGAACTGTGCTGAGAATTGAAATCTTTTCCATGATCACTAGGAAGACTGGTTCACATATAACTTGCACAGATAACTGTATTCAGAACACTCAGGAATAATTACTCTGTACATCCTTTTACAATTTCTTATCTATAGATGCCCCTGTATTTAATACCTTCCACTACCATTTGCACTATGCTTCATCACACAAAAATCATGGAAAAGTATCAAAAATATCCAGACAATACTCAAAATGTCCAAAGGGGAAAAAGCCATTTTCAGTACTTGGTATGTGATGCTTCCGTAATGCACATAGCTAAATCACTTCCTGTTCACAAATGTTTTTAGGCCACCCACTCTCTACCTGTGTGCCTACTTATTCCATTCTCTCCTTGTTTTCAGCCTTACAAAATCATTGCAACTGGAAAACTAATTTGGGAAGCAAAAGTAAACACATTACATTTATACAATTTACTTACTTATTCTAAAATTCTTAAGTACAGAAAGTCTTTTGTATAATTCATTCATGACCCTATTCTACTGTTTAACAGATACTGAAAACATTTTGTTTGATGTGATCCAGATTTTTAATATAGAGAAGGGGTGGAGCTACTTCTTTTCTCTAAGAAGAAAGATAGGATGAACAAACAATTAAGTTATTGAGGTAAAGTCAATATGCTTACATTAGCATGGTTCTTAATTTTAAGAAGTCATTGTGCTCTGGGTTCTCCACTTCAACAACTCCCCATGGATAGAGACGACCTCTGACCTTTTTACCTTTAGCTTCAATAAGTTGATTGGATCCCACTACACAAAATGGAATGCTGGCCTGAAATTGAAGATTAAAAAATGTTATAACACTACAATTTTGAAGTAGCAGAAAGTTTGGTAGCATTCATAACCATTCTAAATATTTACAAAAATGATCCTAAACCACTTAAGGATAATAATGACAGAGCACAAATTATAATTAAAGATACTTACTTTAAAGTATGAAGATTCACCTGGGAACTGTCTGGTAAAATGATCACAAAGTATCTAATCTATTTGTTTTAAAATTCAATGCTGATTTTCAGTAAAACTCTTTAAATGGCTTATAATAAAAAATTAAACACTTATTTAAAACATTTACATCCTGCCTTATCTCCTCATTGTCAAGGGAACTAACAATGGAACATCAGGCTGCAAGGTCATAAAACATTAGCCTAATTAGCAAGATTTTTAAAATTCACAGAATGTAAATATTTTTTTTTGGTTAAAACAGTTTACCTTCCACCAAATGCTCTCTGGAATAAGTATGTGTAACCACCTTCTGGCAGGCGATTCCAAAGGACAAGACCCACCACAGAAAAATCCTGTGACCTGGGTGTTACCATATGGAAAGCTAAAGGAGGGTACCATAAAGAGAAAGCTGTCTGGAGAATACAGATGGTGCACGGAACTTTAACAGGAAATAAGGCTCAATAATTGTGAGGGCCCTAGGTCATTACGGGATTTAAAGGTAATCACCAATACTTTGAAGCAAAGAACCACAGCAGTTGATGCAACACTGGATTATGCATTCTAAGCAGCCACCTTAGACAGGAGTCTTACTGCTGCATTTTGTGCCAACTGAAGCTTCCAAGACATCTTCAAAGACAGCCCCATGCAGAATACATTATAGTCTTCAAACACTGACACAAATATCATGCAACGAGCAGGGACCTATGAGAAACCCAAGGGGGTCCCCTGCTTCCTTCTGCTAGTTGGTTCTCCCCTCATACTGCCTCCTCTCCCCGGCTTATCCCCCAGCAGTCTTCCCCTACTACTGCCACACCACTTGCATTAGAACCAATTACAGTTTGAGAATCTTTTCAAAGGGAGCCACATGCAGAATGCATCGTTACAGTTTATATTGGAAGTCACCAAGGCATGAGTAACTATACTCAGATCAGGATTCTCTAGGAATGTTTGCAGTTCACATACTAACTTAAACTGGTAACAAAATACTCCTAGTCATAGTCACTATCTGGGCATCTCTGAACAATATTGAATCAAGTACAACATCCAAACAATGAACCTGAGCCTTTAGGGAAAGTATCAGTATACACTGAACTCCAGTCTCCAAGATCTATGGAACTCTGTACCAAAAGCAGCTCTTCTTGACATGATGAAGTTTCACTTCATGCACTATCATCCAGACCATCGATAATTCCAGATACTGATAAATGAACATGCCACTTCCTTAGCATTAGATGAAAAAGAGCTGGGTGCTATCACTACATTGATGCACTGCATGCCTAGACTTCCAGATGACACCCCACCCCCCCGGTGGTTTTCTGTTTATGTCAAATAGCATAGGAGATGCAACGGAACATAGTGGGACCCGATGGAACAAAGGTCACAGGGAAGAACAGCAGTTGTAGCAACACTTAAGAGACCCTGACATGAAGAAGCCACCATGCTCTCAATCACCTTGCCCAACAATGAAATATTGTTGAATGGCCAAATTGTTAAAATGGGGTCGTGTCAAGAGTGTTTTTAGGAGTGGTCATGTTATTACTTCCTTAAGTGGCATGGAGACTACCCTCCATCTCAGTGAGGTATTTACTACTACTGCCATCTACTTTGCCTGCCCTCCACATCCAGTTGTCTGCTAGGAAAAGCACTGGTCAAGTATGCTAGTTGCAGGTCTCATTTCTCATGTGTCCACACCTTCAGGCTGTACAGAATGAGAAGTATCCACAAAACATCATACAATGGTTTCCAGAAATAACAATGACCCGATAAACAGTTTATTTTATTATTTTTTTTGCATTTTTGTGTGTGTGCCGCATGTGTGTGTGCCTGCGCCTGGAAGCCACGGCAACCTCTGGTGACTCCTACTGGGGAACAGAGAACATTCAGAGAAGTGGCCTGATAGCCTGCTTCTGGCCTCCTGGCCCTGCTATTCTCTGGAGGTCTCCCATCCAAATACTTGCTAGGGTCAGGCCTACTTAGCTTCTGAGATCTGATGAGATCAGGCTCCCAACAGTTTTTACCTTCAAAAGTCTGGTCTGTTCTTTGAAGTCTTCATCTTCATCAGATTCAGCATCCGGTAGGTGATAAATCTTGATGCTATGCTCTTCAATTTCATCCAGAATCTGAAAGTAAATACGCAGGAGTATTGATCTGCACATCAATATTGATGTGAAATATTGATCTGCAATTGAATGCACATACAATGGGTTTTTCCAGCCCCATTTTGCACTGCATTCCCTTGTATCCAGGGGTGGTTTCAGTGATTCTGGGGCCCAGGCAGAAGTCAAGGATGGGATCCCAGAATCATGGGTGTGTGTGTGCACCTGCCCCTTGCCAAGGAGGAAGGAAGAAAGACCTGGCTGGCCAGGTCCCTTCTCCCCATGCTGCATGGGCAGTTTTAGGGCTTGGCTTGCCAGGCACCATGACCATGTGCCATGCGGGCAGCTGCCCTGGATGCCTTGTGTCTAAAACCACCTCTACCCGAGTCCCTTAATAGATGCTCCCTCCCCGGAATGGTATATGAATATTTTTATTTATAGTATAGTATTCTGGATATTTTTATTTTTTACATTACTTATAGTTTGCCTTTTTCACTGAGACTCAAGGTGGATTACAAAGTATAGGTCAAACACAATCAACAGGATAGGACATTCCCATAAGCAATGCATCCCATAAGTAATGCAACACCATTTAGATTGCAGAAATCTGAAAATAAACAGAAATCTGAAGAAACACCTGAAACAAAACATAAGCATTATGTTACTTTTACCAAAGATGTAATCAGTTTGTTCCAGCCGCCCTCCGAATTTTTCAGGCTACAGCCATCTCTCGCCTGTTATATGAGATTCCTGTGTGGATACAGGGTTTTTCTACAGAGGTTGAATGTATTAACGCCTTATTTCTGTGGATACTTGGGCTCCCTAATTCTGTTGCGTATTTTACTCTCTGTGCTGAGTTGGGTTTACACCTTATTGAATCAAGGGTGTGGTCTATTGTTATTAAGTTTTGGCTTCGTCTTCATTTTAGCCCCCCTGTATTTTTTGGCCAATTCTGGTGAAATGGATATTCTTCGGATTGTCCAAAGAAGGATTTGGGGCATTATAGCTCAAGTTATTAATGCTGGTAGCTCTAGAGTCTGTTCTCTACGTTTTCTTGGTCTTTTCCCCGTACAAGATTCTATGGCCCAGTACTTTTCTAATTTGGTAAACCTCTCACACCGTAGAGCTTTCATGCTTGTCAGGTTCAATCTCTTCCCTTCGGCTGTTTTGAGAGGCAGATATAAGGGTATTCCTTATAAAGAAAGCGTCTGTACCTGTCTTTACAATGAACCTGACTCTGTGAAACATATTCTCACTGCTCTCATTACTCTTTGCTACGTCATTCTTTGATCATCCCCTCCTTTCTTCTGCAAAATCTATGACCAGTAATGACCTTGGTTTTTTGTTATCTGACAAATTTCCCGAAAGTACTGCAGTTGTCGCTGAGTACTTACTATTTGTATGGAAGTTAAGGGTTAGAAGCTGTAATATTTAGATTTTCCCTTTTCCCCTCTCCTTTTTATTAATCCCAAATGGGTTTTGTTTGGTGGAGACTTTCAGTATGTGTATATATGTATTTATTGGTGTCTAGTTTGTGTGTGTGTGTTGTTGTATTATTATGCCATTAAAGGTTTTTCTCTCTTTAAGCATAAGCATTCACATAGCATATTAAAACAAGACAGAAATTACATAGTAGAATCTGCTTAGAGCAACACAGTATGTACTATACACACTAGTGTAGTCCACTTACTGTACAGCCTGAATTACCCATGTAAAAAAAGCCCTCTTGAATAATTCAGTTGTGCATAGTTTGCAGAAAGCCAGGAAGATGGCCTTCCTGACCTCATCAGGCAAGCCATTCCATAAGGTGGGGGCCACAACAGAGAATACACATCTACAAGCAGTTGTTGATTTTGTCCATTTGCAAGGTGGCACCTACAGGAGGCCTGCTCCAATGAGTGAAGCTATTATGGCACAGCATAGGAGAAGCATAAGGGAAGAGGTGATCCTGTAGATATGAGTGACCAAGGGCTTTGTACGTGATACTCAATACCCTGAATTCAGCCAAGTAATAGCAAATGGCTGGTGTTACAAAACAGGAAGTGTTTTATACCTGCGCACAGGACTGTTTGGATCTCAGCCAAAACCCAACACATATGCCCATTTTGGTCAAGGTAAGAAAAAACAGGATAGGGTGAAGGTCTGCAGTAAACTATACTTCTTAAATCCCCATGTCCACAGAATTTTAAGTCAGAAATCAATTGTCTCTCTTTTTGGCTCTACTAAATTTCAACAAAATGCCTCAATGGCTTCCATAGCTATATGAAACACTCACCCGTTTCTTCAGCCTCTCCCGCTCCTTCAGAGTAAGGGTATCAGCTTTTGCAATTACAGGCACAATATTCACTTTGTTGTGTATGGCTTTCATGAACTCAACATCCAAGGGCTTGAGACTAAAAATAAATGTTAAGTAGTTATAGCATACAGATCCTCCCAATTCCTTCACAAACTAAACAGATAACTCATTACACATTTTCTAACAAAAATCTTCCAATAAAACTCTTAATTTCTCTTATTTTATAGCCATATTTAACTTCTTACCACCCATATTGAAAAGTAGTAATTCTGGGGTTTTTTTCTTAGAATATTGCTAAGTACAAAGATCAGGTCATTAAATGCTTTCAGCATTAATCCATAATAAATACCTACCCATGTCCAAATGGTGAAATGAAATAGAAACAGCAGTGAACTCTGTTATCAACAATATGCCGTCTGTTCAAGCCACTTTCATCATGAAGATAGCGTTCAAATTGCTCATCAATATAGGAAATTATAGTCTTGAAACTGTAAATCAAATATGAACAATTATGCTAAAAACCCAGAAGCTCAAGTCAGTGCACACAATCCTCTGCTTCTCCAAGTTATTAACAATCGTAATCTGGGTTAGGCTGAGTGAGTGGCCCAAGGTCATTCAGACAGTTCCATGTTCCATAAGGATTTCTGAGTCTCTTCAGCACAGTTTAACACTAACCACCACACAATACTGGCTCATTTGAGAGGAATGTTGTATGTAAGCAACTTTTACTTTAGAAGGCAGACTTCACAATACATGTATAAATTTGCCTTCCTGAAGTGAACATAAGAACATAAGAGATGCCAATGTTGGATCAGGCCAAAGGCCCATCCAGTCCAACACTCTGTATCACACAGTGGCCAGAAATACCAGGTGCCATCAGGAGGTCCACCAGTGGGGCCAGGACATTAGAAGCCCTCCCACTGTTGACCCCCCCCCCAAGCACCAAGATAACAGCATCACTTGCCCCAGAGTCCCTATCTATACCTTGTGGCTAATAGCCACTGATGGACCTCTGCTCCATATGCTTATCTAATTCCCTTTTGAAACCATTCCACAGTATCCTTTCCATTCAATACCTTGTTTCTAGCTGAAAAAATTTACAATACATGAATGAAAGGAGCACTACTCACCCAACCTATTAAAATACCTATTAAAATATTAAAATACAGGAAACTCCTGCCTGACCTCAGTGTGACATCAAAACAAAAATCATGCTTTTCATAAAAGTCTACATTGAAACTATCAATGTTCTTCACTCCGCTGATGGCTCCAGCAGAATATTTTCTGAACTGTACTTTGTAGTAGTAGTTAGACATTTCTTCTGTTTTGCTTATTTTCTGCATCCACAACAGGCATAAGTGAATTCATTCTCACTTGATGTGGGGCAGCACTGCCAACCACCCAAAAGCAGTATGTGAAATAGCCAAACCAGCTGCCTCATACAACATGACAATGTACCCAAGCCTTTCACGATGGCAAAAAAATTATAGAACACCCTCTAACTTTGTGAGCATCTTACTATGTGATGACCAATTCTCCCTTTCCTCTTCTATATCCCCACTGTTTCTTTAAGGGTGAGTTGCAAGCAGTTACAGACAATGGAAGGCCAAGTATACCATTTCTCCTTTCCGGTATGGCATTTTGCCTGCAGACAGTCAACTGCAAAAGCTTGATGCAGGAAGACCTCTTTTTTTAAAAGAAAAAATAACTTCTTCAAAATAGGGAGAGTGAGTGAAAGATTGGGAAGACATTTTTGTGTCCAACCTATTATTTACACTAAGTATTTCATTCAAGGAACTTAGGTTCAAAATATAAATTCCTGAAATTAACTCACAATACTAAGGTTCAAAACGAGGTGACTGGATCTCTGGCACATTATTTTATGGTACATACCAGCCATGGGATTCCCCAATTCAGATCAGGACCAGATGAAAGGGAGGTTAACTCTTTCTCAACCTCAAACACTTCCTCAGAGCCAGTATTTGCTCTGGTGGGGTAATATACAGGCATCACTGAGGCAAGTTTTAACTTTTCCCCTAAACTGCAATTATGTGGGGACATTTGAGTTTAGGAAAGCAATCCACCATCTCTGCACACTATGGTCCCAATCCAAACTGGAGCCTCCTACATGCAAAAACAACAACAAACCACACCCTGAAGACCTTAGTATTTCATGTAGTTTGGCTTTACTCTTAGAAATATACGCAAGTTAACAAACACATACCAGTCTCTACAATTGATAGCATCACCATATCCTGGTGTGTCCACAACAGTCAGTCGGAGCTTTACCCCCCTTTCTTCAATTTCTACAGTTGAAGCTTCAATCTGCACAGTTCTTTCAATTTTCTCTGAAAGGCAACAAAAACTGATCTCAGAAAACTTTTCAAAGTGAAGCTTGAAGCAAAATCAGGAAAAAATAGCAACTATCATCCTGCAAGTCTGATCAAAATACAGATGAAATGCAAACCAATTATGAGGCATTAATGTTTTTTCACTTATCAGCTGCAGAATGCAATTACAAAACACAGCAGTGCCAAGATTATTTAAGTCAAAGACATCCACTGTCACCCTTAGAGTAACATATACAATCTGGATCCTAGGTGTGAAACCTAAGCAGTGTCACATCACAAAAGGCAAATTTCCACCTCTCACTGCAGAGTGCTTCGACAGCAGAAGTTGTGCTCTCTTGAGTTGGTGGAACTGAAAGAACCAGCGGGTGGGAAGAGGGTGTGTATAACAAACTGGGACTCTGCAGCAGGAAGGGGAAACTGCCAAAGATTACTCTCCTCTGTAGATGGAAAGGCTATTCCATCAGATGAGCTGTTGCTGTGTCAATGGAATGGTAACAGGATCCAAGCTATAGAGCGCAACATGGGCAATAGAGAATTCTTCTGCAGAATAAGTACTTCTAGGTGATTAAAGTGATAGACTTAAGATGCAAACTACAGATAAGTTGGCAAAAAGATACAAGGCAGAGGTCCCCAATTGTGGTGCCCGCCAACACCTTTCCTGAGGTCAGCTGAGCATTTTTAAAAAGTGGGTGCAGCCAGGTAGGGATTCTTCCCAGCAGGTTTTCTGACTGGCCACTGGAGATCTGATTGGCTGTGCAGATTTTTTTTAAAAAGTTGTTGTGTTGGCACCTGCCACCACAACATAAGTAACTTCACTGCATGATACATCACATAAATTTTAAAAGACATTCTGTTAAACAGAGCTTGTGGCTGAAATTTTGAAGACTTCATGTTAAAGCAGGAGTAGGAGTTGAGTTTTATACCCCGCTCTTCACTACCTGAAGGAGTCTCAGAGCGGCTTACAATTGCCTTCCCTTCCTCTCCCCACAAGGAGAGGAGTTCTGAGAGAACTGTGACTGACCCAAGGTCATCCAGCTGGCTTCATGTGGAGACGTGGGGAATCAAGAGTCCACTGCTCTTAACCACTACATCAAGCTGCATGTATGAATTCACTTCCTGGCATTTTTTTGGTTTGCTCTGCCTCTTGTAGCAGCAATTTTGGAGTTGTGCCCAAAATCCTGTGTCAGAATTCCAAATGTGCTCACAGGCTTAAAAAGGCTGGGACCCCTGCTACATTGTGGTACAAGAAGAAATAGATGTTCCACATTTTATAATGGCTGCCAGCGCTCACCAGGAATTCTACATTATATTCCAACCTAAACTTTGATCCTTTGTAGATCTTGAGAATTTCTCAAAGAAAAGGATGCTAAAAATGTACAATCAAGGTTAAAGGAAGACTAAACAAAAAATATATAGCCTAGACAGCATAGCACCTGTGAAATGTGTTTACATACATAAAGGAGTCCACCCCCTTTTTTGTGACAATTAAATAAGAGACAATGATTAAAACATAGGGAATGCAAATTAAACAAATGAATCAACTGTGAATAAAAAGCCCTGTGCTTTTGTTCAGAACCCATACAAAGTCCCTATAGGTATGTTAGTGTTTCTTAAAATCTACCAAAGGACATAAAAAATAGTTCATGTTTACCAGCTGCTCCTGGGATTATTCTTTCTGGATAGAGATCTGTTAAGAACAGACTGTTTATTAGAGTAGATTTTCCCAGTCCAGACTCACCTAAGAATCAATAGAAAAATAAGTTCATAAGCACAAATCACATAGTTAGCCTCTTCAGAATCCATACACACGATCAGATTATCCATATTTTGAGTTTAATTTATTTATTTATTTATTAGTTTGAGTTATATCCCGCCCTCCCAAAGGCTCAGGGCGGCTAACATGCAGCAAAGCCGAGTGTAAAATACAACAAAACATATAGTAGAATACAATATTTAAAATCACAATAAAACCTTCCTCTAATGCGGTGCTATACCTAATCATCCAAGATGGGAACAACCACCCAAATTTGGTGGCCAGCTGTCTCAGTGGCACGGTCTCCCGCTACGCTGTCTTCTTGCACCAAATTGAACTCTTAACTGTGTACACTGTTGCTAGTTTTTGTAATTCATGAAGAACACAAGAACAGTCTATCAAATCCAGCATTCTCTTTCCCAGTGACCAACCAGATCCCCCCTTCAGCTCTCAAGTAGAAGAAGAAGAGGAGATTGGATTTATACCCCACCCTTCACTTGGAGTCTCAGCGGCTTACAAACTCCTTTCCCTTCCCCGCCCCACAACAGACACCCTGTGAGGTGGGTGGGGCTGAGAGAACTCTGAAACAAACTGCTCTTTTTCAAGGACAGCTGTGCCAGAGGCTTGTGACTGACCCAAGGTCACATCAGCAGGTGCAAGTGGAGGAGTGGGGAATCTCCCTGATTAGAGTCCGCACACTTGACCACTACACCAAACTAGCCAGTAGGGCGAACAAGGCCATTTCCTGCTGTTGTTTTCCAGAAATTAGTACTTGATAATCTCAGAATACAGAGGTTCCATTTAGCCATCACGTATGTGTCTAATCTCCTCTTAAACCTATCTAAACTACAAGCCAACACCACATCTTGTGGCAGTAAATTCCATGCATTAATTGTTGTGTATACTTTTTATCTACACTGAATCTATTGCCAGTCAGTTTCATTAGGTACTTCACAGTACTATGGGAGAGGGAAAAGAATTCTTTCCACTTTCTTCGCCATGCATAATTTTATAAACTTTCCTCTTCCCTTTTATTTCCCCTTTTCAAAGCTAAAAGCCCCAAACACTTAAAAACCTCATAGGAAAGATGATAACTTTTGCTGTCCTACGTCATACCTTTCTCAGCAATAATATTCTCTTTGAGGAAGGGTAAGGAGACCTGCACACAGTATTCTAAAGGGAGCTGCACCGCAAAGGCATTAAGATACTGGCAAGTTTATTCTCAATCCTTTCATTTCCCTACTTATTTACTTCATTTTTACCACCCTTTTCCTACCCAATGGGAACCCAAGTTACATACAACATTGACCCCTTATTCATATTACCCTCATAACCCTGTGAGATAGGTTAGGCTGACAGTGTGTGACTGGCCCAAGGTCACCTAGCAAACTTCCTTGGCAGAGTGAGAATTCCAACGTGGGTTTCCCAGATCCTAGTCCATTACTAACCACTATACAACACTGGCTCTTCCTGGCATGGATCTGCCCTTTTCACTGCCACCATACACCAAATCAGTATTTTCTTTAAGGGATCGATACAGCTTTCACAAAGCATTGAAATTGAAAAAGGAACTAGACAAAGATGTCCACTATCTCCACTATTTATTTTTCCTCTTGAAACATTAAACAATATGATCAGGGGGAACACTGAAATCAAAGGTCTCAGACTTAGAGAAGAGTATAAATTACAAGCATTTGCAGATGATCTAGTATTCATTTTGGAAGAACCACAAACATCTATTATTCAACTTTCTGTGCAATAAAAATATGGACAATATGCTGGTTTAAAGATCAATCTTAAGAAAACAAAAATATTGAAAAAGAATTGCACTAGAGAACAAAAGCAGAAGATACAAGATTGTTCGGGCACTGAGGTTCATAAGAAAATAAAATATTTAGGAATAACCCTAACTAACAGGTGTAGCTCTCTTTTAAGACAATTATTTGAAACTTTTATTTAAAAAGATTTAGAAAACTGGAAACATTTGCAACTATCATTTATGGGAAGAGTAGCGACTGTGAAGATGAATATCCTACCGAGATTGGAATTGTTTGAAAAAGAAAAATCAATCATAAAAAATCAACAATACTTTAAACTGGTGAGACAATTTGGTGAGACAAATTGGTGAGACAATTTATATAGCAAGGCAAAAGACCTAGAATTAAGCTGAAAGCTCTTCAAGATTTAAAGGAAAGAGGATTTGCATTACCAGATTGGCAATTATAATAATAATAATCTTTCAATTTATTAATCGCTCAATCCTGCAGAGCTGCTGGCTCTGAGCGATTTACAGTTACTCATTTCACAAGGGACTAACAATGATTCATGGGGGTAAGAGAGGACAACATATATCAATCTTTAAATTGCACACGTTCGCAGCCGACAAGGATTTTTGTTCAGCTGTAGACTAGACATGTTCCAGACGGCATTTTTCACTCGGCTTGGCTTGATGACGTCAGCTTTCTCCAGGTCTGATTCGAGTCACAATGCTGCATTGCCACCGCCTGGCCGGAACGGCCCATTACAGGCTCCTCGATGCTGAAGAGATCTTTCTAGGCTTCCGATCTTACGAGCTGGACATTCTGTTCACCGGCTAACACCTCCCCCACCGGGGGAGTGGTACCCATTTTATCTACTCGCCGAAGCTTTCGAACCGCTGGGTGGATGGCGAGCTGGGGACAAGGCTGGTAGCTCACACCAGCATGGGGCTAGAACTGACAGCCGTTCTGTTCAGCTCAGATGTTACTATAACCAGAGGATAAATCCCCTGTGCCACCACAGCTGCAGCCCTCACATGGATGAAAGATTGGATTACATTAGAAAATTCAAGGACATTAAAGTTGGAAGGTCATGATCTAAAATTGGGATGGCATGCTTTTGTTTGATACCAAAAAAGTGGCAATCATAAATACTTTAAGCAACACATATTGAGAGCAACGTTAATAAAGGCATGGGAAGAGGCCCAAAATATGTTCTATAACAAAATACCAAAGTGGGTCTCACCATTAGAAGCTTTCATAAATCCAATGACATTTACAAAAGAGTAGCTGTGGAGATATGAAGACTTGCTAGAAGACCAAAATAAATTAATGCAACAAGATAAACTTAAGGGAAAAGGCATTTATCTGAACTGGTGGGAAAGGGCACAACTGGATTCTAGATATGTAAAATATAAAACCATTGGGTTTTGTGATACACTAGTAGAACTGGATAAAATTTTGTTATGCTCTGATGGAAGGTATATAAAATTGTTTGTTGTTATTAGACATGAAAATGCAAGCTGAAGTTGTAAAAGATTCAATGATTAAGTGGGCACAAAATATAGGCCATAATATACAAACAGAACAATGGTCCGAGGTATGGAAAGTTAATATAAAATTTACAGAAGTCACTTCGTATAAAGAAAACAAAATTTTATTTATTTATCTTTGATTTTATATCCTGCCCTACCCCAAAGGCTCAGGGCAGCTAACAGGAGGCACACAGTGCCAAGATTAAAACAAATAAAAACAACATCACATAAAACAATAAAGTACAATAACAATAAAGTACAATAACATAGCATAAAACAATAAAGTACAATAACAATAAAGTACAATAAAATGTTTTATAGATGGTATATGACACCTGAAAACTTAGCTAAATGGTATCCAAATATGTCAAATATATGTTGGAAATGTAAACTAAGCACTCCTTTTTCTCTCTTGAATAAACCTTTATTGGCATAACACAGCAACAAGGAGAACAATGAAACAAATAAAAAATAGAACGAAATTACACCAAGCTGCACCAACAAGGGATCGTTTTTAAACTTCTCGGAAATAAACTCAGTTGAGAATATAACAATTCTAAAAAATACAAGAGGGTTAGGACTTGTACGCCCTTACCCTAAGCCTCCAAACATAGGCTAAGAATTCGGCAACAGACAAAGTAGTTGCCGAGAACTTATCAGACAATAAAATTTTATGGTCATTGTCAGTCGGATTCCTTGTGGTAGGTAAGGGGGGACTAATCAGATAGCTATGCATAGTAGAATAATGAGGACAATGTAGAACGACCATTGGTACTTACCGTGAGGGGTCCTTCTCCTCTGAGGGTTGGAGGACATCTTGTGTGGGTGATTCCCATCCATCATCCAGGGAGGCAGGAACTTTCAATTAATTTCCTGTTTCCTGTAGTGGGAGTCACCCCCTCTCTCAGTTCGGGTGCTCCGAAAGCAGTAACAGCTAAATAATACATGAACTAGGCACTTTGAAATATAACTAGAAGAAAACAGGAATCAGTAACACTTCCCTCTCTGTAAATTAGTCAATAAGAAACAGGATAACAGTAAAGGCAGAATTAGAAGATATCACCTGAGACTCTAGTGCTCACACATAATGACGACCTGGGAGGGCAAAGATGTCCTCCAACCCTCAGAGGAGAAGGACCCCTCATGGTAAGTACCAATGGTCGTTCTCCCTCTGAGGTGGAGGCCATCTTGTGTGGGACCTCCCTGAGCAGTGTCCCTAAACTCTGGGTGGGATGTCGTCATCATGCTGGAGCACAGACTGCAAGACTCTCCTGCCGAAGGCTGCATCTGCCGAGTCATAGACGTTGATCTTGTAATGTCTGATGAACGTAGACAGAGATGACCAGGTTGTAGCCTTGCAAATTTCTTCCATGGATGCTCTGTTGCGTAGTCCCGCATTTGTGGCCGCACTGTGGAGAGAATGAGCCGTGATACCTGATGGTATGTGTTGTCCAGAACTCCTGTATGCTTCTGCAATGCAGTTCTTGACTGTGGAACTCAAGGCTGATTCTGACATTTTCTGTCCCCTATTTGGAATAGAAATGTTAATGAACAGTGCTTCCGTTTTTCGGAAGGATGCAGTCTTATGAATGTAGCACTTAAGTGCCCTACGAACGTCTAATGTGTGCCAAATCTTCTCTTTGGCGTGAACTGGGTTTGGACAAAACGAAGGAAGATAAATCTCCCGAGAATT